CTCTCCTGCTGATGTTCAGGTGTATATCAGTATGTAGTGTCTCTACTTTAAAGAGTCCTCTCCTGCTGATGTTCAGGTGTATATCAGTATGTAGTGTCTCTACTTTAAAGAGTCCTCTCCTGCTGATGTTCAGGTGTATATCAGTATGTAGTGTCTCTACTTTAAAGAGTCCTCTCCTGCTGATGTTCAAGTATCAGTATGTAGTGTCTCTACTTTAAAGAGTCCTCTCCTGCGGACAACTGCTTAGAGCTGTCCCGCCCCTTAGCCTATCATGTACAATGTGTAGGATCACTAGCATATAGAAGTGTGAATGTTACATAGTGATGTCACTATGTTCTGGAAGTAAACAAAGGAGTCCAATGGAGGCATTTGTTCTTTAATTGTTTTTTTCTGTTTGAGGTCATTCTGTACATTAGAATCATCTCATAGTTAAACACAAAACAATTAAGAAACAGTGCTAAAGCTTTCTGAATTAGAATAATCAACAAAGTCTTGACGGTATAACTTTCCTTTATGTAAGATTATTATTTTTGTTCATTTTAAATTAATTGAGGTTACTAATTTTTGCATTTGGTTTATATCATATAGAGACATAAAACACATTGCGAATAAAATCGATGGCAGCAAAACCTTCTGAAAAACACTATAAGAGTAACACTAGTCAACTATTCCATCAACAATGTGATGAGTTCAACCAGCATCAAAACAACTCTAAACAAAACTGAAGACTTTGATTTTAAATCATTAAACTCTGATCATATACATAATCTGGAATATTGAATTTGCATGTGTTTTATTTGGGAAAATGCAAAACTTAGAGTAGAAAATACTGTCCCTATTGGGTTTTTGCATATACAGTGTAATATAAATATACTGCTTTCACTCTCATACAAATATAATACACTTCAAATATAGAAATATAATATCAGTAAAAACACTACATTTATCACAGCTATGGTTTGCATTCACCCAGATTTTGCTGCAAAGGATTTTAATATCTGTGATTAATTTGATTTCCTTTGGTGAAAGTAGATAGTCCTTAATTCAGATTGTCAAATTCGGAGCATTAATGTCATCTTCAGGTGAAGCTAGGAATAAAAGCTTATGAAGTGTTGTTTGCTCAAAAGAGGCGGACCCTAAGGTTTTACATTTGAGAGGCACCTACAAATATTCAGGAATCTTCTACAGGAGTTGCTCGGGTTGTCCCAGTTGAACACTTCTGACGAGGCGTAGAGTTATGTCTGATGGCAGCCCTTTTCTCACCAGCTCATCTTTAATCTGTAGAAGAAAATAGAAATAAGTGCGAGATGTAGAAAGATATATGATTATGACAATTATGATGAATTATGACATCATTGTTCTGTGTAAAGTGAGAATACTCTACCCAGTCTCGTAAAAAAAAGTGTAAGGCAAAACGTAGTTTATTCACAAATAACCCTCTCAGGACGTGAAAACAAAAACATGGAGCTTGTGGTGACACATTATTAGTACATAATTCACCGTGTGAACCCGGACCCGTTAGTGAGGGTACCGGGGTTTGTGGTCATTCATGCTGGCTTATCATACAGAGCAGCACATGTACTTACCACTTGTCAATAAATGGATAAAGTGTGGAAGTCCATTCTGAATACACCGCCTCTGACTCCCGTTCATCGGCTCTACACTGGTGACCCTGACGTTTTCGAGAAAGTTTCCGAATACTCAATGAACTCAATGGCTGATCGCGATGTTTTTGTAAGCTGCCGGAGTTTTGGGAGCATGCCGCTGCGGCGTGGTTCGCACACGTGGATGCACACTTTCCCTGCCGACAGGTCCGTGATGGGGATTTGAAATATTTCCACGTGGTAGCAGCGATGGGAAGCTCCACGTCATCCAGGTTGGTGGGATTTATCACAGACCCCCCCGCACCATGGCAAATATGAGGCGATTAAGGCCCTTCTCCTTAAGACGCCACGACACCCGACCGCTACCCGGTGCCGCACATTCAAGATTTTTCAGAACATCTGGCCGGTACGCTGGTGTTTTCTAAAGTGGACCTGGTGCGCGGATACCACCAGGTGCCCATGCATCCCCTGGACGTCCCTAAGACAGCAGTGATAACGCCGTTTGGACTTTTCGAGTTCCTGCGGATGCCTTTTGGGCTCAAGAACGGCGCTCAAACGTTCCAGCGCCTGATGGATTCGGTGCTACGGGACCTGCTGTTTGTGTTCGCCTACCAGGACGACATACTCGTCGCCAGCGCTTCGGTGGAAGAGCACCTGTCACACCTCCGAGCCCTTTTCACGAGGCTCAGCCAACACGGGTTGATAATCAATCCTGCAAAGTGCCAGTTCGGGGTGTTTGACATTGTCTTCCTTGGTTCATGTCTGAGCTCTGGAACGCCGTGGCGTGCGGTTTGGGGGTTAAGCTTCACAGGACAACCGCTTATCACCCTCAAGCTAACGACCTCTGTGAATGTTTCCATTGCTCCATGCAGGCAGCACTAGAGCCGGCCTGAAGGACGGCAATTGGGTCGACAAGCTGCCTTGGGTAATGCTGGGCCTGCGGACCACGCCTAAGGAAGATCTGCAGTGTTCCATGGCTGAGATGGTCTACGGTCAGCCGCTGAGGGTTCCAGGGGATTTCCTCCCTAACGCGTCGGCTCCCTGGTCGGCTTCGGCGCAGCGGGTTTGCCTGCAGGGCGCCGCTGAGACTTTTTCTCCGATTCCCACTGCTCGACATAGCACTCAGGTGTCCCTGGGTCCCGCGGATCTCCGCTCGGCGGAGCACGTTTTCATCCGGCACGATGCGCACAGGGGTCCCCTACAGCCTCCTTACGATGGACCTTTCCGGGTTTTGGAACACAGGGACAAACACTTTGTGGTCGACTTGGGTGTTAAGGCCGAGCACGTCTCGGTGGACCGGTTGAAGGCGGCCCACCTGGATTTGGACCAGCCGGTGGTGCTGGCGCGACCTCCGCGACGGGGGCGCCCCCCGGCCTTGATCCCTGTCACTGAATTGAGACCCGTTGTTCCGGTCTCGCCTCTTCCGGAGGCCGCCCATACAGAGGTCGTTTTTCTGGCTCCCGTGCTCAGGAGTCTGACTTTGTTTATGGGTTACTTCTGGAGGGGCTTGTGTGGTGACACGTTATAGGACATAATTCACTGTGTTTAGTGTGTGTAGCAACCCGGACCCGTTAGTGAGGATACCGGGGTTTGTTGTCATTCATGCTAGCTTGACATGCAGTAGCAGTAAATGTACTTACCTCGTCTGGTTTAATGGATAATAAAGTGTGGAGTTCCATACTGAACACACCACCTCTGACTGACTCCCATTCATCGGCTCTACTATAGCAGAGTTGGTGTGGTCGGTTGCATGTTGCGAATCATGTTAAAAGCAGACGGCAAAAAGTAAACACTGAAAAAATACGAAAAAGGGCAAAGTTGGAGAGGAGCCAAAAGACAATGCGGCCATCTTTACCGGCGCATTTGTTCAACTTGTACTAGAGTAAAAGTAGAAGTACTCAGATCTTGTACTTGAGTAAAAGTAGAAGTAGTCAGATCTTGTACTTTAGTAAAAGTAGAAGTACTCAGAATTTCATTACTCAAGTAAAAGTATAAAAGTATTTCCATAATTTTTTTTAATTTTTGTTAATTTTAGAGGTTTAACCTCAGCTGTAAAAAGTCAATTGTTAACCGTTTTGTCAAAATAAAGATACTCATTGTTTTCTTTTTCATTTATTTTATTTACAAAAACATGACACCAGAAAAGCCAAAACCCAACACCAGAATCACACTGACTCGAACCCAAAATGATACGACTGATCCCTGATAAACTCAAACACATAAATATATCAGCAGGCCTACTGACCAAACTTTAAAGAAACAGTTTGACCTATTTTTGGGAAATCCTCCAGTTCTCTCTTTAACGGTTGACCTGGCTAACAACCATCTGAGAAGCCTTCACTGGAAACTGTTTGGGAGAAAGTAACAGACACTTAAAAAAGAATTAGCAGAAAGGTATGAAATATTAAGCAAATCCATCTATGTCATCATCACCATCATGTCATCACCATCATCATCATCATCATCATCATCTTCATCATCATTTTCATCACCATCATCATCATCATCATCATCATCATCATCACCATTATCATCTTCATCATCATCATCATCACCATTATCATCATCATCATTATCATCATCATCATCATCATCATGTCTGTTGTTCTATAGTCACAGAGACCTTCATTGGTAACATCTTAAGTGGGGGTACATTGTAATTGGCAATGTATGAAAACATCCTCTCAGTGAAAGTGTGTGTGAAGGTGTGTATGTGTGTGTTAGTCTCAGGATCAGAGAACGACAGCTTTCCTCTGTTCCAGTCCAGACTCACTCTGACCCTCTGGAGCTCCTTCTTCAGGCTGAGAGGAGTGGATGGATCTGATGGTGACCGTGTTGAGTATTTACCTTTATGATAATCGATTCTCCATAATCCAGACTGTATACTTCCCTTCCTCTGGAGAGACTCTGCTAACACACCCAGTACCCAGCATCTATTGTCTCCAACCTGGACATCCCAGCTGTGAGTCCCTGAGTTAAAGCCCTCAGAGCCCAGGACAGAGTAGACATAATCAAACCTCTCTGGATTATCAGGAAATTCCTGTCTCTCTCCTAGTCTCACTCTGGTCAGATCTTCAGACAGGATGAGTTCTGGATTAGNTGTCATCTATCTGAATTGATTAGTCACTCACATGTTACATTACATTGCATCTGGTCGAATGTACTTACTGTATGTCGCTTTGGATAAAAGCGTCAGCTAAATGCAATGTAATGTAACATGTGAGTGACTAATCAATTCAGATAGATGACAAAGTAGCAGAATTAATGTAGATGCTTTTTAATTTGACTGTATCCCAATGAAATGACCACAGCGGAAACAATGAGTGATCTAATCTATTATCCACAGAAAATTAAATGGCTTCTGCTCAGCGATGATTCTCCATTTTAGCCACCGCAGCAGTCGGGTCATTTTTTAAGTCCTTTTTTTATCCGTGGAAAGTAACTTAGTTCATCTCAAGTGTTGTACTTGATTTGATATTTTTGTGTAGTTTAGTATTTACAATTTGTATTATTTGCTATGGGCCCGAGCACCAGCAAAATGGGGACGAGGACCGTCTAAAACTGGTGGTATTATTATAATTATTTAGGGGCACTTTTGAAGGGCCTAAGATATTTGAAAACTCATGAAAGACTGCACATATGGGGAGTGGCGAAAAATAGATATTTGATAAGGAGGTTTGGCTTGGGCGTGGCCTGTTGGTGTAGCCACACCCACAATCAGTTTTCAAAATAAAAGCCCCCAACTTCAACTTTGACATGAGTTTGATACTTCGTTACTGTACTTAAGTACATTTCTCTGGTATCAGTACTTTACTCCACTACTTATTTTTCTGACAAATTTTTACTTTGACTTCTTACGTTTCTAACACAAATACCTGTACTTTCTACTTCTTACATTTTCAAAACAGGCTGGTTCCTTTAGTTTTAATCTGCGTTTGGTGGCGTGATCATTATTATTTAGAGTCATTGCGTGCCTATTGATTTGAACACGATCCGTGTATCCATCATTTCCTGGTCTTCTCTAAAGAAGAGGGACCAATGAAAACGTTGTCATGTTGCCGTTGTTCAGCATGGAAACATTCATTAGCTAACAATGACATTATTGTTCTATTAATATAAAGGGAGGTCAGGTACTCTTTAAAACAGCTGCTAGTTATGGGTACTTTTTACTTAATTACATTTCAAAGCCTCTTTACTTTTACTTGAGTAAAGAAGTTTAGTCAGTACTTCTACTTTTACCAGAGTATTTTTAAACACGAGTATCTGTACTTCTACTTGAGTAAAGGATGTGTGTACTTTAGCCATCTCTTGACACGAGTAGTGACATTGCAGAGTATCATACAACTTTTTTATCAACTTATAATTAAACATTGTGTTTTTTCTAATACTCCAAGAAGATTCATCTTGCAGCTTGTAATGTGTATCTTCTTCGACTAGAGTGATTAAACACATTAATGTATCAATAATCTGGTCATTTTAAAATGGATGATTATACATAACCTATTTTACTTTTGGTCCTCTAGGTATATTTTGATACTATTACTTATGAATAATAAATAAGTCTTATTATAATGTGTTGTTGCTAATTTTACTAGAAATTATACTAATATTTTTTGTTTTTTAGATGTATAAACCGTCTGAATTGTTGAAATAGTAGAATAAATAATAAAAAATAAAATAAAAAGTACTTTTTCTACCAATATATGTACATTTAATAACTTTTTGCACGATGACATTTAGTTGACCGAACATGATGAAAGCGATCATTACTTGCGGTTAAAACAGAAAACAAACACCAGGTGCTATTTCAATCAGGAGAGACTTATTCCGTGAGTTTGATAGCATATTTATTGCCCGAGGGGTAATATACATTTTGGAGATTAGACCCCATTGTACTGTGATGGATTTAGGGGGGAGGAGAAGCCGACTAGGAAAAAATAAACCACCCCCTGGGGTCTAGACACTGGTGGTGGTGAAGTGCTGAAGGGGAATTCAGGTCCTTAATGATGAGGGTTCTTCTGGGCTAGCCTGGCCCTGGATCTGATGACTGGAGGTGGAGGTGGGGGTGGGTTGCATCAATTCTCTGAATGATGCTGGCGAGGGAGAGAAGAGCAGATTTAAACGTTTGCCGGGTGTGCTGTGATTGCTTGTGGGGGATGTGACGGGACTGATTGGTCTGCTCTGGGGGTATGACGCGCCCTTGCTTATTGAAGGAAGGGCGAGGGAGAGAATTGTGAATGAGAGCGTGGGAAACAGTCTCCCTGAAAGAACTTGCGCTGAGCTTCATTTAATTAATAAGAAATATTTATTGTTTCCCAGTAATTGCAATACATTTTTTATAAAGCTGTGTCACATTCTGTTTTCATAAATCTTATTTTACAATCCAAACAGGGCCGAGGACAGTGTGATCCGAGCTGAATTTATTAGACATGTGAAAACATTGTCCATGCATTTGAAACAAAAAGTGAATGAACCAAAAGATTTCACATTTTAGTCAACAGATCAAATATGATGAAGAAGGAGCACCCGTTCTTTGTAAACCAACAAAACACTTGTGATACTCAAAGATGTAGCTCTCCAAATAAATACATTCCTCTTTATCTACATCTTAACACAAGCATGAATTAAGCTTTTTAATAAAGAACAAAACAATAGGCCTTTACACACAGGGGACCTTTTGAACTTTCACACACTGCAATAGGTCAAAATGTCTGCTGGGAAAAAGGCACACTACTCTCATATATTACTCTGAACGCAAACTGTTGATGAAAACATGTGCTGAGCAGGATCACTGTACATCATTGAGGCTTTTATAACTTTTAAAAGCTATACATCTGTACTTGTACCCTGTTTATAAGTAGGACGGATATTATCTACAATGAAAACTAGCAGAGTTGTAAAAAAAAAAAAATCTTTAACCTTTTATTTTTTGGGGATTAAATCTGCACGTCAACAATAAACTGTTTGTTTTTCATAGCATCTCTATAATGTGTGTCCTTTAGCAGCATTAATAATATATTTACTCAGCTTCTCTCTGCGACAGAGGCGTTGCTACAATTAAATATTTACACTGTGCACAGACTCGCCAGATAAAAAAATGGAGGAGGCATATCCTGCAGAATAAACAAGTCTCCCCACTGCATCAGGAACGGAAGCGTCTATTAGGGGTTACAATCTCTCATATACACACATTTCACACAAATACAGTTAGATTTAGGGCCTAACATTTAAAAGAAAAAAGTCTCACAAACCATATTAACTTTATTGGCTGGCAGTCCAGGGCTGATGGATGGATGTTTTCATAGAGTGGTACAGGAATGAGTTCTAGGTTATTAGTTTAATTTATTTGACCCCTTCTGGTTCCCTCGTCTCTGACTCAACGTTTTTTTTAACATGCTTTTAGTTAGAAATAAGGTTCGTGGTTAAAAAAAAAAGCATGAGATGTTCAGGTTTTGCTCCAATACATCAAATAAATAGCCAAATTCGGAACCGCTATGTCAGAAAAATGTGCTAGAAAGTGATTAAAACAACTACTTAACGTTATCACGCCGCACATTAGCGACGGTTAGCTTAGCGGTGCTAATATGCAGTCATGAGATGTAGTTTGTTTATATCCTAATGTTAGCGTTTTACTTCCAGCGATTGCATTTACGCTTACAAAAAACAAATCATCAAAGTGGTGTAAATATGTGGAGATTATCCTGCTGAAGAAAACTTGTAAGTATCATTAACGTGTGTTTGCCAAAGATCTTATTTTAGGCAATATTCCTAAATCCAAGGGAAAAAACTCACAGGTCAGCCTAAAACAATCCATCATCCCTGCACCACTCTATTGGATCTAAAAGGGGCTGCACACTAAAGCGTCCCATGATTAGTTTGCTACTTCTGCCCCATCTGGCGTGTCTCTGAAGCCGTTAGAGAGGGGATTCACTGTCTCTAAAACTCCTCGTGGACATTTCTGGCGTAATCCATGAGCTTGCTGCCCGTGAAGTATTCGCTGTACTTGAGAATCTCGTCCAGCTCCAAATTGTGATTCTGGTTTTCGTCTGCGACGGCAATCATCTGCTTGGCCTCGTTCAGAGCGTTGTGCTCGTTCATCGGGTCCATGTACTCCTGTCCGGGAGAAGGAAGGGAAAAGTAAGTAATCCAGAACTATTTCAATTACATCTGAAATTAAATGGCAATTATAAGTTGATTATGGAGTTTTATGAGTGCTTGCTGATCAACTTAATAATAAAAGACAGTTTTTTGAAACTTCAGACAAAATGTAAAAACAATAATTATATTGAAAAAGTGATTCAAGATTCAAAGCCTTGCACAATAGCTACGGTAATGAAAATCTTAAAGGGGCCCTATAATGCTCATATCAGTATGTAGTGTCTCTACTGGGACATGTCTCCATGCTTTAATGTGCTGCAGCACCTCTTTTCACCCTCTGTCTGAAACCAGAGCCCAGTCTGCTCTGATTGGTTAGCTGGCTGGCTGGCTCTGTTGTGATTGGTCAACCGCTTAGAGATGTCCCGCCCCTTAGCCTATCACGTACAATGTGTTGGACCAATAGAAGCGCTTTAACTCTCAGGCTCAAACTAACAGAGACTTCTGCTTTTTTTATTGAATTTCTTTTGTTTGATCTAAGTGTCTGTTTGGTGGTTTTAAACACCGTTGCATTTGAATGCCTACTTCCTCTGCTTCACTGACAGCATGTAAGCAAATATTAATCTTAGAGCAGAAGTGTACTTAAAAACAGTCACATGCAACCCTTTCTTTGTTTTGGGAAGTTGACATTTCCTTTCCTTGTAATTCTTTATTTGGAGTGACAGTGCTTTTACTACCAGTAACACAATCATCATAAACTCCAGTGAGCTGTGTTTTTAGTTTAAGATTTTTCTCCTCTTCATCCCTCACCTCCAGTTCGGCCATGGTTACGATGCTGTCCCGGTCTGAGTCGATGACGTCCTCGAACTCCTTCTTCCTCTCCCGCACCCAGTCGTCATCGATGTCCTGCGCCTGCTGGTTCTCCACGGTGCCCACAGGCAGCGAGATGAACTCTGAGAGCGTCAGCTTCTTATCTCCGTCCTGGTCTGCACGCAGAAAACAATACACATTTGATATCTGACCTTTTATTAACCCGACACATGCATTCATAATGGCCCCAATCATAGAGGATTGCTTATCCAAATACACATAAAGTAAGGTACATTCAAATATACAGATCCACTATTATATTATACCAAACACATCTGCACACAGTGACATGATCTACTACTGCTTATCACCATATTTGAATGGAAATGCTCCAATAACGGGCGGTTTTTCTTTGAATGAAAGTGGATCATCACCAGAAAATTCATCAGCACTAATTCTGATAATAATTCAAAAATAATCAAATATGTTTCAGGCTCTAAAATGTGCAGATATTTTAGATTTTTTTCGTTTCATATGATAGAAAACTTGTAGGCTTTGTGTTTAAAACTGTTATTCACACAATAACAAGGACTTTTAAATGTCCCTTTAAACTCTGGGAACTCCTGATGGACATTTTATAATTCATCAATAAATGAAAATGCTTTGAGGAATAAATGTAAATGAAAAACAATCATTAGTTGCCGCTCACATACCACATAACTAATGTTTCCCCCACTTCACGCTGTCCTTTCTGAGGCCAAGTTGCCACGTTGTATTAGTATGGCGTGTGTTTTGTGCAAAAAGCATGATCAAACCATGAAAAGAAAGATAAATATATTCAAGGTCCTTGTTAAAAACCAGCTGAACAAGTTGTATCTGCCCGTCACACTGTAGTACGAGTGTAACCTAAGCTGGGTAATGCAAACTGCCTGCACTGACACGGAAACAAAATTGTCTGCATGTAAACACAGTAGGCATCTAATCTTTGTATGTTTCCAATGGACCATATAACACGGTGGTTATCTTGTACAACAGTTTGTTTAAGTACACATTTACTGCTTTCAGTAAAAACACTTCAAAACCCAGCAGCCAACTTCAGACAACCATGGCTTAACTGGAGTTCAATTCTAGAAATAGGATAACGCTAATTCAATTGGTGAAGCCTTATCTTTTTCTGCACCTCTGATGATCAGCCGTTTTTAAACAGGGTGACTACACAAGTACAGAAAGGGAACTGTGCAGCATTTGAATAAAGCCCTTTGTATCTGCTGAGTGTAAATAACTTCCCCATGTCAACCTTAAAGGAGACATGTGTTTGTATGTAGTGTCTCTACTGGGACATGTCTCCATGCTTTGATGTTCAAAAAGCTCTCTCTTTTTCTCATACTGCCTGTGCTGCAGCACCCCATTTCACCCTCTGTCTGAAACCAGAGTGCAATCTACTCTGATTGGTTAGCTGGATGGCTCTGTTGTGATTGGTCAACCGCTTAAAGATTGTGGGATTTTAGACTTTGCACATCATTTACTTGCACAAAACCCATATAATAGGAAATAGAATACCCCTTAAAAACCCCTTCAGTTTCTTTCCACTTCCTACAAATGGAAATATTTAGTCTAGGACATGAAGTAAAAACGTACCTAGGTCGCGCACAATCTCCTTGACCATGTACTTCAGCATGCCCTTGCTGTGCTCGGGGTGCAGGAAGGACAGGAACTCCTGCTCGTTCAGCAGCTGGTCGTTGGGGCTGTTGTCGGCCTGGAACCAGCGGTCCTTCAGGCTCTCCAAAACCTCCTGAGCTGCAACGGCAAGGAAAAGCATCGTCAAGTATTCCCTGGAGATCTATCTGCAGCACCTATTCTGGGACATCCTTGAAAAAGATGGACGACATTTTTCCATCATTGAATACTTACTTTCCTCATCCAGTTTCAGATCTTCATTATTCTTCACTTTCTCAGCAATTTCCTTCTCGTTGAAACCTTTGCTGGCCAGGAATTTGACTCTGTACTCGTCCCATGTCACTTGACCTAAAGACAAAAGCATGAATTCTGACTCAACAGAAAAACATTCATTCATTCGGGGGAAGCCTGACTTCCTGATTTGATCACAGTCAGCCGTGCATTAAATGATAAGAGGGTTTTCTCTCTCACCGTTAGCATCGGGGTCCACACCACGGAAACTGTTCTTGTTCTCCACCATGGCCTCCTGGAAGTGCTCCTCCGTCTTCTCCATGATCCACCGCTGCATCTCTTTGGCACTAACGCTCTTGTCCTTGTTGGAATCAACTCTGAGAAGATAGAATGACGAAGAAATATTAACTGTAAGTGTAGCGTTAAGTTCTTGAACATTAACACTTAAATCAGCTGTAATGACCAATATGCTTTACTGGCTTGTGTCCTTCTGTTTGAACTGGTCAGGCTCTAATACTTTTAAACATTTCTTTACCATTTAAGGTCAAATAAAGGGAATAAGGAAGGGGAGGGAAAGCTTTTTAAGTCATACCGAAGAATTATCAGTGATGCAAATTAGTCGCTTTTCGGCGCCTCCCGCTTTTTTAACGGTGATTTGGGTGACTTGTGTAATTCGTGGAGAACCGAAGAGTTTTCGTTTTGGGGGGGGTCCGTCAATCCGAACTTCTCACTTCAAAAAAGAAGAAGAAATCTAGATCGCAAAATAATTAAACAAGCGAGTGCCTGTTTTTCCTGGCCAAGGACAGGTTCATTGAACACAACACGAGCGTAACGTGTCTTCACCATAGGTCTTCACGTGGTTATGTCTCGTCTGAAAGTAACGGAGAGCATCGGAACGCTGCTCCAACTCTTTAAATATTGCAGTCCCCATAAGGAGCCGAACACATGCCGCAGTGTTTGCGTGGCTGTGTCTTTAGTTGTAAGCACAGTGGCGATCTGTTGTTATTAGCATCTGGTTAGCTAGCTATGCTAACGAATTTAAAGAGCTTTTCTACAACCAGGTGGAAGAGAGCTCTCTCCTGAGAGGCTCAAATAACCTCAGCTCAGTGAGGTTAAGAAAAGTCTTTTTGGGCTTATTTGGTTTGATTGACTTTATTACCGTACGTTTAACGAATATGTGTTTTGTTGTCGTTATTACGTTTTTTTCCAAATTGATATTTTTCGAGTAAGGTTAGTTATTTATCGAAAGTAGTAATTAGTCACGTACGTTTGTGTGGTCCATAACGCACCTTTTTTTCCCTCTTGATAAGCTTCGTCTTTTTTTGTCGCCATATATGGTACGACTGTTACCTGTCTAAAAAGAAAAATACGCCTAATAAAATGTTTAGTGAGAGGAAAGTTTGAGATAAGAACAATAAAAATTGTTTGACAAAAAACAATGACACGTATAATCATACGAACATATGGATAATTATTAAAATCCAGAGACAAGAAATAGATTACCACCAGTAATCTCACACGCTTGCCTATTACTACGTATTAA